CTCTCAAAACAGCCTTTACATCTCTGTCCACTAAACATGGTCAGCAGTGACATCATAGGGCACTTGTTAACAGTGGAAAAAAAAAAAAAAAGACCTCCATCCCCACCCTAGGCCATCTTATGACTCATGTACAATAAAGGTTTCAACAGTTTTTGTTAATATATTTTACATCAACTGAACTTCTCAACCCCCCCCCCCCCGCGACACATCCCATATCCTTCATTGCAAATCCCACACATCTTCGTTAATACATTTTACAATTTGTATCATACGCTATTGTAGAGGCACCTAGCACAGAACATGGTATATAGTAAGCCATAAATACTTGACTGAATAGACCCTTTCATCTTCTAATTAATGGAAACGTTTACTTAGGGACTTGGAAAAATCTAAAGTATGCAAGTGAAAACTTGACTGTCAGACAGTCGAATGGTAACTCAAGCAGGTGTGGCAGCTTATGCCTCCTATAATCCCAGCAGTTGGCGGGGCCGAGACAGAAACATAGTCATGAGTTCAAAGCTATCCTGGGCTACATAGTACATTTCAGGCTAACCTGCCCTAGCAACGGAAAAAGACTTTGGAAAGAATGAAAGAAAAAAAAAATCAAGATGAGAGAAGGCCCAGAAGAAGAAACAAGAGGTAGAAAAAGAGGGAAGAAAAGAAAAGGGAAGTAGTTCAGAATCCAAAGTGAGTTGAGCTGGAAATTATCTTCATGGCGTGTCAACCAGTTGTAGATATGAGGTCACTCAGGCTTAGGACAGAGTGTAAAAAGGGCTATGCCAAACTATGGAAAAGCTAACACAGAGAGCAATAAGGGACAAGACAGATGGTTGGAAAACCAAAACTAGGTGTTGGGGATTTCAAAAGAGAAGCTTATGGTAAACACATCACAGAGCTTAGAGCAGAACACTGGCATGGTGGTGTGGAGGTTCATGATCAGAATCCCATAATTCCAGCTTTCAGGAAGTTGAGGCAAAAGGATGACTACCTGCATGGGAGGAGGGAGCAGAGGCGGGAAGAGGGAGCATGGAAGGGAGGAGCACACCAGTGTGCTCTGGAATGACTCTATCTAGCCACATAATAGACAATTACCTCATACCTATTTTTTGTGGTAACAGTTAAAATCTACTCAGCAATTTTCAAGACTATGTTATTAACTGAGGTCAACACGGTCAAATACATCTCCTAAACGGGCTCCTCTGCTCCACTGAAAATAATGCATCCTTTGACCCCCACCTTCCCAACCCCTTCCTCAGTCCACCGGTTCTGCACACACAAAGCATCTGGGGCGTCCTTCGGACTGTGGCTTAGCCACCATCAAACGGATGGCAGGTGACCGGCAATCGGGGTGTTTTAAGCTTTACTCCCCGGTAGAGCGAAAAGCAGCAGCGCCCTGTTAGGGAACCAACTTTCTGAACTGCTGACACTAAGACCAAATCAGTCAAGTGTCTGTCACAGACAGGAGCTCCTGAAGTCTCACCTGCAGCGGTGACCAGTGCACGGTTCTACACCCTGCACATGTGGACCTGCTCCAGTGGATGGCTCCACATCCACACATATGGACAGCAATGAATGGACTCGCTGGACTGTAAAAGGACATGAAGTTGGGAGAACGTGGCAGGGAGAAAGGGGGTCATCAGGGAAGAATCGAAGAGCAAACGGGAGGTTGATATGGTCAAAATGCATCATATACATGAATGAAACCCTCAAAGAATTAGTTGGTTTGGGTTTCGGTGTTTTTTTTTTTTTTTTTTTTTTTTTTAATTTGTCTCTCCACACAGCCTGGGTTGTCCTTGAACTCACAGAGATTTACTTGCCTCTGCCTCCAGATTGCTGGGATTAAAGGCGCCTGCCATTACGCCCAGATAGTTTTTTAAAAGAAAAATTCTGGTGCTGGCTAGGTTCAGGGTTCACATCTGTAATCTCACTACTTGGGAAGTAGAGGAAGAAGAACTGGGAGTTCAAAGCCCATCCTTGGTTAGAGGCCAGCCTGGGGTACATGAGACACTCTCTAAAAACAAAACTAGTTCGGTACATGGGGTACATTCAGCCATATTAGTTTCCAACAGTGTCCTAAGCCCAGAAAAATCTTGGGTTCCTCACAGTGACTCAGAAGCACTCAACCAAGGCCATGAAATTAAAAGGTTAGTCATAAAAGCCTTCAATATTTGACACATGGTCAAACCAACACCAGGTTCTTCATAAGTGACGGGTGACCAGTGTTGGAACTGAGGATATCAATTAGAGGTCATTAAAGAGAAAAGTGGCTGCTTTAAAGGTATAATCTCTCGGTGACAGGAGGAGAATGAGCAGCAAAACCATGACTATGGCACATTCATTTACACAAGTACTCCATGCCTCAGTTTCTCTACTCAGACAATAGAGATGGTTGTGATATTTACCCTCAAGGGTCACTTGAGGGATTAAAGGAATGTATATACAGGTCAGGTATGGGGGTGTGCTCCTGCAAATCCAGCAAGTAGGAGGTAGAAGCGGAAGCAGGGCTGCAGCTAAATTTGCTATCTACGCAGTTGAGTTCCAGACAAGCCCTGAACCCTTAAAAAACACCACTAGCCATTAGAAAAGTGGCAGTTACAGCTGGGAATGTGTGTAGCTCAGTCGGAGAGTGCTTGGAGCCCTGAGTTCTGCAGCCAAGCACTGGGAAAAGGCAGGAGGGTCAAGTGTTCAAGGTTATCCTCGGCATGCTTAATAACTGTTTAATCAAGGGTTTAATCTCACTACTACAGCTCCAGCTCCACTATTGCCCCTAATCACATAACTTTGGACTACATAGGCAGTAAATAGACCTGTAGAGTCCCATCAGCGTCCAGGACATAACACAAAAATTGCAATGACCAGGGCTGGGCTGGAGAGATGGCTCAGAGCTTCAGAGCACTGATTGCTTGGTCTTCTAGAGGTCCTAGGTTCAATTCCCAGCATCCACATGGAAGCACACACCTGTCTGACTCCCATTCCCTCACACAGACAAAACACTAATAAACATTCAATAAAAATAAATGACTTTTAAAAACTTGCAAAGGCAAGTCTAAGCATGGCAGTATGTCAATAAATAAAGCTTATTTTGCAAATACGAATCAATTGTGTTAGCAATGAACTAGAGTTCTCACCATTACTACACCTAAGAGCCAATACTTAAACTCATAAATCAATTAGTTTCTGAGGTGTCTGGGATTTGGGTTTGGGTGAATGGCATGGGGGAGGGGGGGGGAACAATGACTGGGGAATTCCTGAGTTCTAAAGCAGAAAAACTGGAGCGAGCCAGGTGGTGGTGGCACAGGCCTTTAATCCCAGCACTCGGGAGGCAGAGGCAGGCGGATCTCTGAGTTCGAAGCCAGCCTGGTCTACAAGAGCTAGTTCCAGGACAGGCTTCAAAGCCGCTGAGAAACCCTGTCTCAAAAAAAAAAAAAAAAAAAAGGAAAAAGAAAGAAAAAAAAAAAAGAAAAGGAAAGCTGGAGTAAAAACAGTTGTTCTTTAATATGTTCACCATACCCTAGCCGCCACTCTGTGAAATGAACGGCTAAGTATATTACAATAGCCTTAATGGAAAGAGTGTCTATCAATGAGGTATTTCAGAAGAAAAAAAATACCCCATTACTTCACCAAAAAATAAATACAAAAAAGGTGGTGGGGGGGGGGGGAGTCGGTCTCCTACGCTTTCTGCTTTGGATGTGGTCTAAACGGTATTTCCTCCCGGGAATACAACCTTGAGTTTGTTTTACAAAACAAAGGTGGGATACACTCAGTAGACTGATTCAATGACCCATCAGGTTTCCCAGAAGATTTACTTTCCAAACTTCAGCCAAGAATAGAAGATCTGTATCAAAAAGACGGGAGGTGGAGCGATCACCTCAGATTAGACCGGCTAATAGAATGTTGATCCCATGAGCAATGTTCACAGCTGCGGCATCCAACAATGGAATTAACATTTCAACAGGAAGCAGAGAGTCATCCCAACAGACAGAGCCGCCACTGATCCAACCTCCTCCCCCAACTCCCGGGACCCTCCCCCAAAATCATCTTTGGCGACTACACTGTGTGTGTGTGCGCGCGCGCGTGCCTTCTAGAGTTGTACCCGGGAATCCTTTTTAGGACTCATTTGGTTTTTAAATTCCGCCAATGCTTAGTATAGTCAATGAGATCAACTAGTTAAAACACTCTTGGGAAAAGATAAATTTCTAAGTGTCAAAATGTGTGTGCGTCCTGGGATCCAGGCATTATTTAAATGTCCTTTTTCCTTCTCCCGGAAAGAGGTTCTGCAGCTGAAAGATATACTAGGCGATTGCTAACACCGCACAACTCACCACCTGAACGTCGTCTTTAAAAAAAAAAAATGAATCAACTCACTACCAACCCTTGGTAACTCCTCCCCAACACTGACTCCCTAATACCCAGTCTAGGGGTGGCTCGGTCGAGCTAGCCTATTCTTGGAGACCCAAATCCACCCGGCTAGCGCAGCTTGGGTGCTCCTTTCCTAGAGGTAGCCAGGACGACACACCGAACGGCTCAGTCTTCTCTCAATAATGGCGTTTGTAATTCAGTCTCCCCGCCTGGACTACCCGATACCTAAACACTCGCAGCCGGGAGCTTGGAAATCGGGGAATGCTGGCGAACACAACACCCAGGCAGACGCGGGAAAGAGACAAGGGCAGATAAAGCTAAGCAGTCCCCCAGGGAAAGCTGCCCTGGAGGCGCGCCCCGCACGCCGCTCCACGAGCTCCATGAGCCCCGGCCACCGCTACGGTGCGATCTGGTCCCCGCTCCGCTGCCGCCCCACGCCCCCTGCGCGACTCCTGGTACAGATGCGTTCTCTCGGCTGGTGCGCGTGGCCGGGCCATATCACCCTGGTGCATGGGTGCCCACCCGCCACCACCACAGCAGCGCCCCAAATTGAGCCGCCCCCTCCCCCCACGCCCCATTGTTCCCGGGAGGCCGCGGGCTGCGAGCGCAAGGAATTGGGGACAGAAGGATGCCCCACTCACCCGCAACTCCGTACAGGAGCACGAAGCACAGTAGGAGCTCCATGGTGGCTGCCCGGTCGCAGCTTGAAGGTAAACGCTCTTAGCTGGGGAACCTTGGTTTTCCAAAGCCTGGTACACTCCCGACTAGCTCCCAGCAGAGGCAGCAGCGAAGGCACCTCTGCGCCCCGCCCCAGCTCGGCAGGTGAACGCGTCACTTCCGGCAGCAGTCCGGAGCCCCTTGGCAAGAACCCACAGTGTTGGCGCCCTGGCGTTGTCATGGAAACTGGGCGCAGCGGGCGTCCCCCTCCAGGGAATCGTCCAGCTTCAGCAGTCTTGCGCCCTGCACCTGTTTGCACTGGGAGCCACCTCCAGCTCCCCCAAGCCTTCTTCCCTCGCTGCTTTGTCGACTAGGAACCAGCCTGCCAGTCTCTCCGCTGAAACTGCGGTCAGTCACGCCCTTCCCCGGGGACCGCTCCAGGCCAGAATTGTTCGCTTTCCCTAGACCCTGAGCTAGGCTCCCACACTCCACCCGACCACAGCTGCGGGACTTTGTGGGCTTGGATGCGGGCCTCCTGCCACCCGTGTGCCCTTGGGCGATCCGACAGCTCCGCGAATCTGTCGCCTTCTTTTTGAATGGATAGGTCCCTGTAGAAGGCTAGGGAGAGGCTTTTCTTCCGCTCCTGTGTACACTCGAACCATAAAATGAGGCTCCAGACTTAACAAATATTTCGGGCTTTTCTCCTCCTTGCGTTTATGAGCTAACCAAGCCCCGAAATTAGCCCACAAGGACAAGAGAGCTTTAAAAGAGGTGCTGGCCGGGAATAGCCTTAGGTAGGGTGAACGGGAGTGGCTCTTGTGGAATCCTGCCCTGTGGCTCTCCCAGGCTGTTGTCTTCAGGCCTTTCCTTGCTGCTTGTTCTTGGTTGCTCTTCCCAGATAATGTTTGTTTTTAACTGTAGAGATGTGGAATTTCTATCTGGAGATAGAAAATAGAAGCAACCAGTTCAATGGCTAGAGCTGGGGGTCTGGGTGAACAAGTTATTTTCTAGAGAGGACAAAATCATGCATGGAAAAATGCTTGGCACCCCACAGAGCACATAAAAGCGCTCAACGAGTAGCAACTAATAAAGAAATATTGGAAATGGCTTATTGTTTATTGAACCAGAAAGAAAAGCAGGCAGGTGTAAATGTTTGAATAAGAATGGTCCCCATAAACCGGGCGGTGGTGGCGCACGCCTTTAATCCCAGCACTCGGGAGGCAGAGGCAGGCAGATCTCTGTGAGTTCGAGGCCAGCAGGTCTACAGAGCTAGTTCCAGGACAGGAACCAAAAGCTACGGAGAAACCACGTCTCGAAAATCAAAAAAAAAAAAAAAAAAAAGACATGCACTAGAACACCTGGATTTAAACATAAAAACCTCAGAGAAATAAAACCTTGTTGGAAACACAGGGTAAGACACCTGGAAGACTGGAAATACACGGTAGAGTTCTGGTTCAGTTTACACTGGGGTGCGAGAAATTAAAGGAGAAAATGTCTGACTCCTCCCCAGAACAGGGCCGTCTCATTTCTCTCCGGAGGCCCACTGCAGCTCCTCAGCAAAAACTACGCATTATTTCCTTCAAACGTCCACAGGAATTGCAATGGCTTGTGACAAATATCTAATATAGAAAAAGCCAGGACTAAGGAACATGTAAATAACCACAGGAAGGCAGGCGAGTAGCACGCAGATATGAGTAGGGCTGACCTAGATCAGACCCCCTTTCCCCACCCCCCACGAGGACCCTCCCCCTCCCAGCCCCTCACAAAGACCCCCTCTTGAAAGGCTGCATTCACGTTTCAACTCTGACCAGTGACTCCAGCCCTGTCCTATCTAAGCCGTAATTGTCTTCCCCACAGACTCTACTACACGGCTGCTGATTTCACATGTGTCCGACAAAACAAATGCAAATAGGTTATCTTGCATTATGCGTAAAAGCAGAATGGTTGCCATGGTGAATATTCTCATCACCTTCATGAGATGCGATGTATCCCTCCATTTTAGGACGTCTCCTAGCCTCCTTATAAAACCCTCAGCTGCCTGTTCTTCCCTTTTCGTTAGCCTAAGCCTGGAAATGAGCCACTTGGCAAAAGCAGTAAGAAAACACTCCAATGAAATGAGAAATGTAACAAATGGACATACCAAAATCAGTAAATAGTGTTTCACCTTATTTAAAAAAAAAAAAAACTCCTAAATTGGTACAGAAAAAGGTCACTTACATCCTGTGATATGCATGTCTAAACTGGCTGCTTTAATCATGGTATAAATGCCTTCCCAATGTCCCAAAGTGAATTCAAACTCCTCCTCATCCATCACCAGGGTCGCGGTATCCTGTTTATTTGGTACCCTCCACGAAATGCATATATTTCCCTATGGGCAAGTTTAAGATATACATTTGTGTGTATATGTTTGTCTGTCTTCCATGTAAAATGCACAGTATTCATATTATCAAATAACGGAAGCTGACATCATTTTGTGTTTATGTAACAACTGCTCTGATAATTAAGAGAACTAAATAAGAAACGAGAGACTTGATTTAGCTCACTGCCAACAGAAAATACTGTGTAACACGCATAATTACATGAAAGGTAAAACCTGACAAGAGTAATACAAAGGCACACTCCCTTAGCTTTACCGACACACTGCTTTTGTGCATTTTCTGAGTAAGCGTTCGTTCTAGGGCTGGCTATAGCAGAAGTATTGCTTCGCATTCTAGATCTATGCTGGCCACTATGGGCACTGCCAGCCACTGGACAAGTGTCTAATGCAAGCTGAAATATGCTATAATGAGCTATAAATGGAAACACTAACCAAATTTCAAAGACTACTTGGAAAAGAAATAGTCACTATCTCAATATGTTTAATTTGATCATATATGGAAATGTGTTTTATATAAAGCAGGCTAAAAGTTATTCAGTTAACTCCATCTTTCCTTTCTAGATATGGCCGGAAGAGAATTTCTAATGGCAAATGCAGGCAGCATTGACATTTTCACTGTGCCGCGCCGTTTGCCGTCATGGCCACGATCAAGTGGATGCAAGCTTTGATTCCTCAATTTTGAATGACGGATGTCCTTCTTATCTCAAGGCTATAAAGAGGACAGATTCAAATAAAATTTCAAAAACAAGGAACCCTGAGTGGTGGCCCGATACTGCAGTCACAGGTTTCTAGAGACTGTGATTGGCTGGCTGCAGGGAGATCAACTCCAGCATGGTTTATACAGAGACACGTCAAAGAAACAAACAAAAAACAGGGTATATTCACTTTTCTATCCTGGACTCAACCCATTCTAGGTTGTTTTCTTTTTTGTTTGTTTGGTCGGTTTTGTTTGTTTGCTTGCTTGTTTTCTGGTTTGGTTTTTTTTTTTTTTTTTGGGGGGGGGACACAATTTCTCTGTGTAACAGCCCTGACTGCCCTGGAACTTGCTCTGCAGAACAGGCTGGCCTCAGAGATNCATAGGCTCATATATTTAAATGCTTAGTCATCACGGAATGGCCATATTTGAAAGGATTAGAAGGAACTGGAGCTGAAGCCTCTTGGAGAAGGTGTAACAGACTCCTGAGAAGCCCTTAATTGGCGGCTGGCTTTCTGTTTTCATAAATCCCATCCCAAATATTCATATTCTTTCTCTCTCTCTCTCTCTCTCTCTCTCTCTCTCTCTCTCTCCCCTCCATCCCTCCCTCCCCCATCCGTCTTTATCTCTCTCCCTCTTTTCCTATCCCCGGTTCCTCCTCTCTCCCTCTCCTTTTAGATTAGGATGTAGTTCCCAGCTACTTCTGCATCACACCTTCCTGTGGCCATGCTTCCTGCTGTGACGATAATAAACTAACCTCTGAAACTGTAGGCAAGGCCCCCAATTAAATGCTTTATTTTCTAAGAGTTACCTTGGTCATAGAACAATGTTTAAGATAGAAACATCACCAGACTTCAGTCTAAAGAAGCAACTACAGGGGGGGGGGGGAGTATAGTCTAGGAGGAGGTGATGTACTACCCAACTAAGCAGCACAAAGAGTTTACTAATTCATTCAAGGAGAAGTCTGGGGAATATATGTAGGAGTGGGTTTTTAAGGATGTGAGACAGTGGTAGAAGGAGCGTCAAACTGGATCAGGCTGAGTTTATTGATACGGGTCCCCTGCATGGGGATTCTCGGTTTAATACAGAAGCTTGCACAGTTAACAAAGGTGTCAAAAGTCTGAACAGTTGGCTGAAGTGTTTGTCCAAAGCCGGCCTACTGAAGAGGAGTTGGAGATGCCTGGTACTCCTTGGCTGAGTGGCGAGAGGGGATTTTAAGGCTCAGGGAAACTGCGATGCTAGAATGGGTAAACTGAGTAAAGCCTGATCCTCCTCAATGGGAAGGTCCAGTCATCCTGTAAGATGCAAAACTGTGAGAGAGACGCCAGCACATTTGGGTAGCTTTAGTGTTGCCCCTTTCCACGTGCCAGACCTCAGGGTCAAGACACTGCTGTTCAGTTGGATGAGTTAAATGCAGGCCCCCCGAGAAGCAGGTGCCAGGTGGCAGCACTCACTGTCCAAAGGCAAGGTGATTGTAGCGTAATGGGATACATAGGCAGTGTCCAAGATGGCCTGACCTGTCATGATCAGCACATGCAAAGTGGATTTTATGGTGGCCTGACTCACGTGGACCTTTGATACTGGCTTATTAAGCATGGTGTTTCCAGGCACGGACAGGTAAGAAGCCTACTGAAATTATGGATTGTAGCCAAAGGGAATAAAATCCAGTGAGCCCATTTCCAGTCTTGAGCTAGTTTGCAGACCCAAAACCCCTTGAATGAAGGGATGGCCAGGTTCCCCCACACACTAAAAAGTTTTACTGCTAGCCTTTCTATAGTCCTTCCCCAGAGGGACATATGGTCTTGTACAAAAATAACTGTACACTGGGGGAAAGGAAACAATCAGACTTTCTGAGGTCAATTGGATACTGGTTTTAAATTGATGCTGATACCAAAAGATCCCCCCCCTCCCCCCCAAAAAAAACACTGTGTCCTTCCCATTAAAGTAGCAGTTTGGGAAGGTCAGGTGACTAATGGAGTTTTGGCTGGTCTTACTCATAGTAGGTCCAGCAGGTCCTCAAACTCATCCTGCAGGTGTTCTCCCAGCCCCAGAATATATAAGTGGGATAAATATACTTAGAAGTCAGAAT